GCTACTTTTAAAGTCCAAATGTCTACTAGGGAAATGAAATTGATAATTCATACTGTGCCCTGTAATTGTAAAAGACAGTTCGACATCGCAGAAACTGAAATCTATTGATCATGCAGCGTAGATGGACTGATTAAGAGAAAATCTGGACTGCAGAAATTACTGGTTAAATTCTCTTATGTGTTTTAAGAGGGAGGTATTATGGCTAATAGTCCTTGATGCTGATCCAGAACTGACTTTAAACTGCAGTACCTGATCAACAGATGTTCAAATATTTGGAGCCACTGGAGGCAATGTTCTATTGATGAGCAACCAATATTTATCTTCAGGGTCTAATAAAACAACAAGGTAGCAGAGGATGTCAGACATCATCTGCACTAGTGCTACTTGCATTATCTTGTTAAATTTTAGGCGGAAATATGGATACTGAATACCAGGGAAAGAAAGGAAAAAGAGATTTTAAATTATTGCAAAGTCAGAAACACAGAATTATGTAGTTCAAAACTTCTGTGGAAGAGCATTATTCTTACCTTCTGGTATTAAAAGGTAGAGTTATTTTTCTTTCTGAAGATAGAAACACTCTGCTATGAGTCACCTTAGTCGCCAACTGAGTTGGATTAATTGGAGAAAATACAGTATCAATCTTTTTCTTAATGTTTACCAACAGTAGTTGGATATTAGATAGTAGATTACTAGTAATAGTAATATTAGATAGTACATGCCACACAAATGACTAGACCTTGTGTAGAAGAAATACCTTCTTCAACCTAGGGATGTTTACTTCAAAAGTAGGCACTAACAAAAGTTAGTTTTAGTAAAAACTAACTGAATTACTTTTTACTGTTCTGCCTGCAGTACTAGAAAGTCAGATCAGATTCATGCATGTCTTAGTCATATTGCATCTTTTCCTCTGGGATATGTATGAATTCCCTCACTGAAAAAAAAAAAAAAAAAAAACCGAAAAAAAAACCCAAACAAAAACGTCCTGGCCTGAATTTAGTCCATCCTTTATACTGATCAAACCATTTCTTATAACCATAGGATTCAGGATGTAGTAAAGCTTTCAGTTGGCAGCTTAGCTCTCAGGAAAAGGAAAAACCTCAGGAGAAATACCGGAGAACTAGATTAGCAAATGGCTTTCTAGTTCTAGAATATGCATTTGGAACAGGTGGAGATGAAATGAAATAAAAGAGATATGGCCAATGTCAAACAGAAAGTGGCAAACAGGGTGGCAAGCTGAGTGGTCACAGGCTTAGCAATATTCTTTCGGAAAGACAAATTCGCAGTATTTAACGTGCTTGCCACTGGTAAATGATTTAATGAAAAACAGAATAAAATTAATCAGGTAACTGATTTTCACAATGGCCAAAATAAAAAAAAAACCACCAACTATTGGAGCAAAGGAGCTGTTTGTTTCTCCCGTCATGAATACTGCTGGACTGTGTCTCAAGCTCCCTCAAAGCTAGAAATAAGGAAAATCCCTTTATCCCTTTGGTTAAAGACCACCGTTGTAAGTTAGTATTGCCTTGCATATGCATGTGACATCAGGTAAGAGAAAATCATATTCAATGCATACCATTGTTTTAAGGAAAAATTTAAAATGTAGGACCAGTTTACTCTGTCCAGACTATGTAATAAACACTTCTTTTGTTGGGGTTTTGCAGTAGCAAATAACTTATTCCTTCTGTGATACCTCTGCCAGTGTTTCATCCCGATAGCAATGTGCTTATGAATTTACCAATCAGTTAGTCTATAAGTCGCCTGGAAGATGACATCCACTGTGCTCACATTTGTGTTCTTTCTCATGTTGTTTACTGGAGATTCAGCTCCTCAGAGTGCTGAAGATTGACTGTTGGGAGTAACCCAGCCATAAGGGAGTACCAGCCAGTGTATTTGTTGCCATAATGAGATTGAGACCTCCTTCCTGGTAAGTGGACAGCTAAATGACTCAGCCGTTTATCTAATGAAAATGGAGAAATGGAGGTGCCTGGAGGAGAAAATTACTTATTATGGGTAGCAGTTGGTATGACATGGTTATGAATCATGAAGAACGCGGTTACTTTAGAAAGCTGAAAGAAGACTATGCGACATTTCAGAACTACCAGGGGACAGGTGACTGCATTGAGTTTTAGAAATACAGTTATCACAATTTCCAATACAAAAAAGTGATCAAAAAGTTATTCCTGCCTTCAAAGTTCTTACCCCAAAAGGACACCAAAGTTACAAACTCTATGACATAGGAAAGATTTCTACCACATAGTATTTTTGTTTAAGTGTGTAAGAGACTTAGTCACCTCCCTCATTCAGAGAATGAAATTTACGCCACTTTTCTTTGGTTGAAATTTAGATTGAAATCTTTGGTAATGGCTAAAGGACCTGTAGTAATTACCATAATGACTAAGGTAGTGTCTGTGTCAGAGGTAATAAAAGAAGTAACAAAACACGTTCTGTCGTTGGACAGCGGAACCAAGTACCGGCATTACCTTCTGTAGTGGAATTTTTAATACCCTTATGCTACCATTGTACAAAAGGAGGAAAAGGCACGGAAGAATCTTTAAATAAATATTCTAATTTCTGACTTTAAATTCTTAAAGTAAAACAAGTAATTGGGTTTACCCAAAACCATGGTAGAAATAAATATATTAAGAGAAGTGAATAGATCTTTTAGACAAATAGGCCTCAGCCTGTGTTTTGACACTAGTTTGTTGAAGAAATGTTAATGGGAAAAAAAATATCAAGGAAAACTGTCAGACATGAATAACAACAGAAGTGAGAGATGAGCTAGGATCTTCTAGGAGGACAGATGGTGAAGGGATAGATTTCAGTTAACAAAAATAGCTGTAGCCAAATGTTTTTACAGGGTATGATAATTTTATAGTAATAATAATAACAGAAGAGCTTTTCTCTGAAACCCCATTCAGTCAGCCCTGACCTGACGTTCATGAAGAGGTTCCCACTGCACGTATCCTGAGACAGAATTCGTAGAGAATTTTGTTGAAAGGTTGGTAAATTAGGCAGGATTTCTTTTCCAGTGGACTTACTAAAAAATAAAGACACTTTAAGCCAAGAAGCAGCTTTAAACTCTGTTAAATTCTTTCATTTTTATTTCGTAAGTAATATCATTTGTATGTATTCAGTTATGAATACATTGTGAATCACAGGGATTTTATTATTCTTTGCTTATGTGTTATGCTATGTCAGTAGGATTGTAAGTGATGTTCTTTCCAGTTTATTGTTGGTGATAATGTAATTTCTCTGAGAATGTTCGTGGAAGAGCCTTGGTTCCCAGCTCGTGTCTTTTGGTCAGTGTTTGCATTCCTTCTGTATAACCTTTACAAAACTCTGTATAAATTCTGGAAAACTTTTTTCTTCATACTCTTCACATTCTTTGCATTTTGCTGATTTTGTGGAATTCAACTGAAAAATAAAATGCAATAGTAAAGCAGGATACCGACCTATTTGTTCTGATAGAGAACTTAACCCTTGTCTGTCCTGTTTTTGTGAATAACTCCAATGCAGTCAGTGGCTACAGAAAGCATTGCTGGAGGCTGCCATGGTACTTATGGTCTGGGCATCTTCTGGCTTGCGTTCTGAGTAGGATCAGCTTTCAAAGATACAGCACTTCAGTGAGAGATACAAGTGGCTGTCCCTTTGAAAATTAGGGTACTTTTCTGATGTGCCTCAGCGTACTCAACTTTAGATACTGAAGTTACAAACTGTTATTTATACATACGCATTCAAACACCGTGACACACGTATGCATACACCGTAAAAAGTACTTGCTTTGATGGGAATCCTGAAAGTGTTTTTCTAAAAACCACTAAATTCTGCTTTTGCACTGTTTGTTATATGTGTAGCTTTTTCATTGTCATATGTACAGGTTACTGGATCCCATTTGCTTTCACCTGTACCGTCCCATCTTTTTTATAACAAAAGAGGTATTTCTGCTCCTGAAGAAACACTTTTGATTCGCCTTTTTTCCACAGACTATTGATGTTACTTACCTTGTTATTTTCTAAGCTTGCTTTTCCAATTTTCCATATGTTCAATACATCCTGTGTTTTACTACAATTTTTGATAAGACATTCTTGAAGAATAACATTTGTCTCTAATAAAAAGCATCTCATTACAGGTTCTCGGCATCCTTTCTGGGAAAAAAAAAAAAAAAAGAAGTTGCAATAGTCTTATGTTTAAAAAGGAATAAGTGAATGTAGGATATAACTTACCATGAGGTGGCCGATTTTTATTTACTAGATATCTCTTCTTACTATTCAAATACTTTTAAATATCTGCAAAGATTGGCTGTGAGTGTTAACAACATAAAGGCCAGCCAGTTTGCTAAGATGAGGTGAAATATAGTGTCTTGAAGAGCAGAGGAAAATAATTAATTAGGATAGGAATTTGGAATATAATTAAACATAGTGGAATTAAACTAGTATTATTCTTAGTTCTAGCACTTTGATTCAGAGATCTGAATTCAGAATAGGTAGGGGAGAAGAGAAATTAAATATTACCTGTATTTCACAAATTAAAGAAAAAGAAGCAGAGGAACTAATTTCTCCATCAAGTCAACAGTAAAGCCAAGAATAAGTCCCAGGTTGTCTGACTTTCATATCAGACTGTCCCGCTTTAAGAAAATCTTCCTGACATTACCAGGTGTTAAATCAGCTGTTACAATGGATTAACCTCTCTGGCTCAGTTCAGTTATGAGAATGCGTGTGTGTGTGGAAATGGACACGCATGTTTTGCGACCTTTTTTCCTGTTATGTACAGGGCTAACTGTACAGACACATCAGACTCTGTGCTTTCTCAGACTTGCCAGGTCCACTGAATACATCAACATTGCTGTATTCTGCACGCGCACTGAGATTATTCTGCACTGAGGCAGTCAGTCCATCAGTTCTATGAAATCTTTCATTAACTCCTTATATACAGGATTCACATATGGTCGGTGTTTGGCATGGTCCTTGTGTGAACGTTTATGTTGTCAGGAAAGCACCATCTCGGAAGCAGGCTACTACCACAGCAATGAATCCAGCCAATTGCACCAGGGCTTTACCAAAGGTGACTGCTAGGAATGGGGTATCAGCTGGATACATTTTCTTGGTGGGATGCATGTGTCCCATGCAGTGCAGACTGAGCTCCACAGCAACAGATTATGAAAAAGTCTCTTCAGGAATGAATTTATGGAAACTGCATTTAAGGCGATCGTATTTTACATAGGTTCCTATGATTTTATTAAGAATTATATTGACAAATCAACATCCTTTGCAGAACGATCTGCAACTATTAGAAATCTAAATCCTTGAGACTACCTAGGCATTTGCTGCTAAGCTAAGGAATGACAATAGTGGAGAAATGCACAGGTAGATGTTGACAGTCACTCTCCATATTCCAATTCTCCAGTATTTTATTCCATTAAATAGTGAATGGTCATAAATAATCATCTTTGGAAGTGTATTCTTTGTCACTTTTTTCCTCTGTCAAATTACAAACGAATACCAACATTATTTTAGCAGTGTTTGCTTTGATAAGATCATTTTGGATTATCCCTTTTAATTTTAATAGCAGGTGATTTGATAAAAATAATTAATACCTGTTTAAATAATTTATCATAAGTACTTTAACTAACAGAACTGTTCCTCCCAAGGCAAATTACTTGCTTTCTGAAACTTTTCTCAAGTTACACCAGGCTGCCTTAGGAGAAAGTTGCTAGTAAAGAAATGAAGCTACCATATTAGACCAGTTGTGGTCAAATTTTAAGTTTACTTACATCCTCATCTGTGTTTGCAGTATATAAGCTGACATCAATATCCTAAAAGAAAAAAAAAGTTAGAGTTACAAACATTAACTAACAGATTTAGAGATAATAAAGCTAACTCTGCAAGGCGTGGATTAGCTCCAAGTTCAAAGGCCCAGTCCATCCAGGTACTGGGAGCCAGCAAGGGGATCCGCCTAGTAAGCTACAGGGTGGGCTTCACTGTGAGGAGGACTCATCAGAATCGCGTCCCACAATACTTTCTTTGAAGGAGCTACCTCCCAAGCCCATTGCCCCTTTTTTTTTAGGTAAAGTGAGAAAGAAAATAATATTTAATTCTAGAGTCTGCGGTATTTGGTCAACTTCCCTTTAACTTTCTATTACTTTGCTTCCACCCATGAAACAGCGGCTCCCTGTTACTGACACTTCTTAGCTGAGTACAGTGCTAAATATTTAATTATGTCTGCTCCTGTGATTATATGAAATGCTGACTTTTTTATGAACTTACTTTGGATGTCTTGATCTGCTCCAAATCTTTCAGAACTTCCGCCCACTTGCAGTGACCCGCTGCTGTCTTTGGTACATAAGCACTAGAACAGAAGAAAACCAATGACCATTAGGCTAAACAGTAGGTATACACAACATTTATGCTGAAAAAAGGTCAGAGATTATTAAGATACTATAGATACATTTTTTTACATGTATATATACCTATGGTAAATGTGCGGGGCAAGTGTATTTGACAAATCATAAAATCATATAGATACATAAAAACTGTATCTCAGAGTCAGATGCTGTATAAACAGTCAATGTATTTCTTAAAAAAGCCAGTTTTATAGAAGGTAATGCAAGAGAAAGGTTAAACTACTTGATGTAAAATACCTACAATTCTTTTAAAGTATACCAAAAAAATCACACATTTCAAAGTCTCTTATACCGCAAAGTCTCTTATTCCCCCCTGCTACTACGGAATTTCTACCTTAAGCCTTATAGAAATATTATTTGTCATTTTAGGTGTAATTTTTTGTGTACGGGAAAGCTTCCTCCTGCTGTGGATAAGATTTTGCTCAAAGTGAACCACTAAACGGTGGAAGGAAGATTTCCATCTCCTTGGAAGATTTTTGGAATCTGAATTGCAGTTTTAATGTGTCCCCACTTGGATCCTTAAT